TCACACACACACACACACACACAGAGAGAGAGAGAGAGAGAGAGAGAGAGAGAGCCTTTTAAAGAGTATTTGCTGGAATTCAGCTCATTAAGCTATGGGGGGGGGGAGGTTTAGCTGGCAGCCTAGTGGAGCAGGAATAATCCAAGCTGGGCTGCTAGCTCTGTGCCCCTCCTTTGCTCACAACTGTTTTGCTTCTCTTGCTGAGCCTTGGCTTAGCAACTGCAACCAGCAACAAACTGCGGAAACGAATAAATTTTGAATTATTAAAAACATTTGGCATCGGGCAGCACCAGGTAAGAGGCAAGGCTACCGCCTTAGTGGGGTTGTTAACTGGAATGTCAGAAAGCAGGAGACGGAGGGGTTGCCAACTCTTCAAGTGGCCACAGTAGCAAAGTCTCTTAATGGCAGTTCAGGATGTCTATATTCCTAGGTTGTGATGTGCTGTGGAAGGGTGTAGCAAAGCTAACTGGCTAATGTTTTCAAAACAGTCCAAGCTGTTTTCCTATCAGCTGGCAAACCTCGCAATCTTTCGATGGCAATCAGCATTATCACTGGTTTGTCATGAGAGATGGAGCTGCCTGGGGAGAGCTAAGGTAAAATGCAAAAGTCTCAATCTGTCACACACAAAAAGTTAAGGAGTTTGAATTCATGTCTAATAGTATTTGGATACCATTTCACCTATAACTCTCTGGTGTATTTCCAGAGCCCCAGGTCTGATTACCAAACATCACTTGCCACCACTCACCCTTCCCTAAGGGCTTGGCTTGGCTTTTCATCTCAAATCATACATAGTTTGTTCTTTATTTGTAATTTAAATATAATCTGCATCCTGTGCTACACTAAATTGTGAAGATGAGCAGCTTAGTGAACGGATAAGAAGTTTTCTTTATCACTTACAAAGACATTGCTTTAATTGTGTTTTGGGGACTTTGGGTTCATTACAGATGGATTGCTTGTTTTTCTCGAGAAAGTTTACTCTGATTATGCTCATTTCAGTGACAAGTGGGAAACTGTGCCCCACCATGTACTCTTGGACTACATTTCCTATCAGCCCTAGCTAGTACATCCAGTGCTAAGGTTTTGTTTATAGCCCAACAAACTCTAGAGAACCACCCGCAGCCCATCCTGTGATAAAACAGCTGAAGCAATATGTGTGGCCTGAACTCTCAATTGTGGCAGAGAACCAAATGCCCGTAACAACGCTGAGCAACGTTTGGCTATCCAGAGGTTGCTGGACTCCAACTTCTATCTTATCAGATCATTGGCCATCCTGGCTAGGGCTGAGGAGAAACAAGGACCATTAGAGCAGATGCATTGTGGGTAAAAACAACAACGTCTGAACATTTCTGGAGGGAGATACAGGGACCAAACCCATCGCTATGAGAATGTTCCCCAAAAAGGAGGGCTGAACAACAGACCAAGGCCGTCTGCAAAGAGAGGCAGCGGGCAGGTCTCTCTCACAGAATGAGAGCAGAGTCGGCCTTTTCAGGGATAGTGTTTTTCAGTTTCCAAATGAACCAGCCTGTTATTACACAGTTGTGTTCATCCCTCGCACTATTGTGAGGGAGTGTAACATGTTGGCATCTGTGATTATATCTCCTTGCACTGTATAAGCACTCTGAGCTGGTAGTAGCCCTGGAAGCTGGAATTTCTCTAGTCTCCTGAGTCTCTCATTCTTCAGTGAAAGATAACACAAGCAAACGTTGCAGCTGGATGAACTGGATGGGTTGAGTCTGCACTCCGCAGTAAAGGTATAATAATGTTCAAAACCAAGGCAGGTATATATTTTATTTTATTTATTTTTATTTATTTTATTTATATCCAGCCTATCTGGTCGTGTGAGGACCACTCTAGGCGGCTAAGTCTAAAAAGCATTATGTGGAAGTAAGAGTTTACAAAACAGCTCTGCCTGCTCTTTAATGTAAGGTTTAAAATGACAGCACATGTTTTCTTGTCTAATACATTTAAAGTATTTAAAACTCATTTAATACATTTAAGTACAGTATTTAAACACAAATATCAGATTCAATTGATCTTTGGAATTCATTACTCTATGGTGTGATAATAACAATAGTAAAATGACCTGTTTTCATCTGAACCGCCCACAAACCGATAAATCATCAGGCTATTAGCTGATAAGCTTGACTTCAAATGGCAAATATAGTATGCCCATGAAAATAAAATACTGTTTGTGGTTAATGCTTTCAAACTCCTGGGATACTACTTAATGATCATATGAGAAACAAATGCTTGTTCCTTTAACTGGATTACTATCAAGATTGTTACCATTTTTATTGCATATTATTTAATCACGTTAATTGGGCCGTAGAGGCTCATGGGAAAGAAGAACCTATTAGTGAAGTTAGGTCAACACTGTAACAATACAGTATCTACTGTTTTTAGCTGGAGTGTGTGGTGGGCCAGTGTTGGACTTTTAGCTACTAAATAGGAATAACTGCTTCAGAAACTCTTATTTTAAATAAAAATAGTAAATATAAGCTTATCACTTCAGGAAATCCACTCAGAAATAGTGCAATAGGGGGAAAAACCACCCTAAAATCTGCAGAAGGTTTAGGATTATCTTTCATGTATGGGAATATGCTGGTAGTCCATAATGGAGGAGATCCTTTGTGGTACTAACTCCTTCTAACAAAGCGAAAATACAGCAAGCAGGGCTCAAGAAAAGAGAAAGTAGAGTAATTTACGTATTATCAAATACTACTTTAGGAAAGACAAGAGATGGCAAAAAATGGCCTCATGTCTCATCCATTCTAGCCTGAGACATTGGCTTCTTCAGGAAGAATACAAGAATTGGACATTCAGGTGGAGCTAGCTGCAATCTCCTGGCAATTAACTGCCATTTTCTAAGACTGTAAGAAGAACACCCTAATGCTGGGTCATGCAAAAAGCCATCAAGTCCATCATTCTGTTCTCACAGTAGCCAGCCTGATGAAAATATATAAATTGAGGGTGACCCTTCAGAAATCAACACAACAGGCACAAAGACCCAATGATAGATAAAGTACTTTACCTCCATTGTGCTGATGTACCCAAACATTTACATATTGAAAAACGTGCAACAGATAGTATCATCCATGTGGCACAAACACTACACTGGGACAACAGCTTGGCACAAGGTCTTGAGCCAAATGTGAAGTGTGATTCCAGCGGCTCCCAGGCTCAATTTTTCTGAAAACCTGTTCCTACAGAGCACACACATTAAATTACTTGATAGTGTAACACTTTTAAGTTCTACGCCAGACAGCACAAACAATATAACAACAACAAAATGCCACAATTTGTGCACCCAAGTCTTTGGTAGCCGTAAAAATACAGAAGTTGCTTGTAGAATTTGCAAAGTTCAAGTATCTCTTTGATTTCAAAGTCAGGCAAAAATTCAAGATATCTTCCTCAACTGGGTTGGATATTCATAACACAGGAGAATCTTCAAATCCTTAAAAGAAATTATCAGTACAATTATGTGCAATTCATAAATTCACTATGTAGATTCACCCCTCCAACACAAACATATAAAATTATACCTAAACCAATTGGGCAAGGGCCTTACTAGTGCAAGGAGGGACGTGGTGGCGATGTGGGTTAAACCGCAGAAGCCTCTGTGCTGCAAGGTCAGAAGACCAGCAGTCGTAAGATCGAATCCACACGACAGAGTGAGCTCCTGTTGCTTGTCCCAGCTCCTGCCAACCTAGCAGTTCGAAAGCATGTAAAACTGTGAGTAGATAAATAGGTACCACCTCGGTGGGAAGGTAATGGTATTCCATGTCTAGTCATGCTGGCCACATGACCACAGAAACTGTCTATGGACAAACGCTGGCTCTATGGCTTGGAGACGGGGATGAGCACCTTGTAGCACAGAGGCTTCTGCGGGTTAACCTGCAGCGCCACCATATCACAATGTATGAAATCTTGAGCCAAATAAAATTTCGTGGAACAATTTTTTTAAAAAAAAATGATCTATATACTGCCTGTCTTCCAGAACTAGGATCCTACAACTTTTTTTTTAAAAAAAGTACAAACACAATTATAAGACTAGAACATAGTTAAACAGATTATAATATTACTACATAATTGAGTTAAAACAATTTTGGAGCACTTCAGTTCAAATAATAATAATTTTAAACATTCAGCCATTGAGGTTCTGTTCTTAGAAGTCTGTCATTTGACAAAGTTCTGCCTCAACAAAGCCTTGTTTGCTTGTTTGCCCCCTTTCTCCTGAAGGATCCAAAGTGGCTTACAGTCTTAAAAGAGCAAAGTTAAAAGCCAAATAATAAATTATTACAATATTTTAAAAGTATTAAACAAATATTGTATTAAAACTCATGACAAGAATAATATTAAAAACACAAGTAAAATAAAGAATAAAATGCTCCTTTAAATATACATATATCCTTGGTCAACCAGTCCTTTAAAGGCCCACTGAAGGATGGTGTGCAACTTGCTACAAAAAGAGTGGACAAATCCAATTTCATATTCAAGTCCCCTAAGGATAACTGTCTGCAAGAACACCATCTTGCATGGGTTCCTCAGCAATGTTCCATTTTACTTTGTGCTCTGATATTCATACATCTTCATAACTGCAGAGCCCTTTAACCATTCCCATAGCACTCCACATGTACTACCTGTAGGTGTTCTCCTGGTTTTCATTTTTCCCATTATGCACAAAACATTCTTTGTCTTTCCTCATTTCTACCTCCTTCTCAAATACATAACTGTATCATACAGTGATGTACCAGCATGCTTAGAAGGGCCAGTCTTATAATTGTGTTTGTACTCATCCTGACGGTCCCCACAGTGGGCTGCTCTGCAGAAGAAATCCAAAACTGGAGATAGCTAAATTAATTTGTATAAACAAATAAGCTCTAACAAGTGTTGTCTTGACCGGGAGCAAGTGTTTTGTAAAGCTAATGGCTCCTATTTGCCAATCCCAAACCAAACTATCCTCAAGCAGTTTGCATTACAGCAAGGATAGCTGGCAATACTATTCTGTTCCTGGGAAAATCCATGTCTTCCTAGGTGCCCTGAGGTTTGCACCTAAATTTAAGGAAGATTGGGAGTGGGGGTGGGGAGAATGATATTGTACTCCCTGCTAATCAGGAAATCCCAGGTCTTCAACCCTGTGAGCTCTGGCTCCACTATGCCACTGGTATCATAGCATTACCCCCCTTCATTCCTACAGTACATGCTTTTGCACAAGTGACTTTCCCAAATATACATTTGAAAATTTAAAGTGATGGTGTCGTCACATCACTGAGGGGGGAAATCAGGCTGGTGA